GCCAGCAGGCCCGGTGCCATGTAAACCTCCCCATGATCAAGAAAGCCAAAATTCCTCCGACGGCACCAGCCCCTGAGCCACGTGTTGATTAGGAGTGTTTTCCTGTTCCTTCCAGTGTCCTTCCCTGCCACTGTAGGGATTGAGGAAAACACTACCTGTGCTCCCGATCCTTCGACCAGTCTCCCCAGTGCCCTGAAGTCCCTTTTGATCACTGCAGGACTTCTCTCTGCCACCTCATCGCTGCCAGCCTGTATAACCAACAGCGGGTAGTAGTCCGAAGGCCGCACCAGATCAGGGAGCTTCCTAATAATGAAGAAATAGACTGAAAGAGCTTGAATCAGCTGTATGTGGTGAGAAGCACAAAATCACCACAGGAGACAGAGCTAAGTGAAGTATTTCTCCATACAGATCACATTTGTCTGTGGGACAACATACTTTCAAAGTTAGCAACTGGCCCGTGGGTTCACTGGCATAAATAAAAAGTTATTCTTATTGTACTGTGTTAATGTTTCAGTGTACCTTCAAATCAGACAATCTAGTTCTTGTCCTTGATGGTGAATGGGCGCAGAGGGTTTTGTTTATTTGCTTTCTTTGTGTCAAAGTGTTTTTTGTGCTGAAGGTAATCTGAAACAAAAATGTACTCTTTTTATATGACCTAACCCAAAATCTTAACAATTCTTCTGTTTTTCAAAGCAGCTAGTAGTTTGTAATTATGTCATCCCAGTGTCTTGGTTTGTTAAAAATGGTTTCTTCTCCCCACACAAACAAGAAAAGAAATAAAGTAGAGGAGAAGTCTTGAAACAAATTTCAATCAAATGTGAAAAAGTAAACTGAACTAAAAAAAAAAAAGAAGAAAGAAAGAAACATTAAGAATATTCCCATCCAAGTAAAATTATGCTTTATATGGGACAATAACAACTTAAAAATTAAAAGAGAAATTTATTTTGTATGATAATGTTCCTTTAGGCTTACTTTCTTCTGACTGTGCTCTTTATCTTTTAATGCTACGTGATTCTAGCTTTTACTGTATGGTGGTTTTTTTCTTTCTTTTAATGGCTAAGCAGTAAGAATGAAGGATTGAAAATGGGCTTCATACACAACAAAAGCACTTTCTGTTGAAAAAACCCTGTGGTTATTGTTTGCTTCCTTTGCTTTTCCAAAACAAAGCTTAAAAATGTGTGTCACATGATCAGTCATTTCAGCTTTTGCATCATTTGGGTTCAGTATTATACATAAAACATTCACTGGTACATTAGTGGAGAACATTTCTTGCTATCTTGATGTTGTCTTCTCTGTCCCTGTTCTGCTCATCCAGTGCAACCAGCGAGCGCCTGGTTTGCTTACCTGCTCTGTCTTCACAGCGATTAGGTCCTTAAAAGCTCAGAGGGGAGAGCGAGTCCAACCTCTGAGGTGTTAAGATTTGGTCTTGATCCTTTAAACTCTAAATAGGGGGCTTTTGATAAAACCTGTAGATTTCTAACAATAGCTTCTTTTTTTTTTCCCCTCCAATTTTAGGCTTACTTTAACCTTATCCTGTCCCATGGATTTGAAGAATTTTCCTATGGATGTTCAGACATGTACAATGCAGCTAGAGAGCTGTGAGTGTCCAATTACTCTATCTAGCGAAGAACAAGATTTTACCGTAACATTCGATGGTTAGATAGTATCTACATTGTCGTATTTGTGTGGTGAGACTCAATATTCTTATTTTGTAAGGGAAAATCATGGAGGAACAGTGCTTTAACTGTCCATCACCGTACTGTGCAGGTCACCTGTCTCTGTGCTGTTCCTGCTCCCTTCCCTTTCCCCCTCCCGGGGCACATCACCTCACCCATCAGGGCTGCATCACTCCCAGGGATAAGCACAGCGATGCTGTGCGGGAGAAATTAAATCTCAGGAAAGTAAGAGCAATTAGTACACAGCCAAGGATTAACTATGTCTGATCAAGACATGCTGTGATCTTTTGAAAAATGGAAGGAACATACTTGATGAAGCAGAGACCTGTAGGTACGCTTATGCTAGTAAGCTAAATACGACCAAGGCACGGACTTGGGTACCGGCACACACTCATCTGTACCGTGTAGCTGTCAGCACACAGCTTGTTTAATTTACCCATAAATATGTAGCCATTGCAGTCAAAAAGAGACTTCAGTGAGTTGAAGCCTCTCTCTTTCTCCTCCGCACCTCTCAGTGGTAGCTTCACAGGTTTACAAAAGCTGCAGTTTTCTTTTTGGTAAGAGCCCAGCATTCTGCAGTCTAGAAATCCTTATTTTGTTGGTGCCCACCAACTACATCATCAAAGACTAATGAAAATAAAGCAAAATGCAGGCTGAGACATAGGCACAGAGAAATGTCATTTCAGTTGTAAACAGTATCTTTGATGGGCCAGCAAAATTAATTTTTAGTGGCAAACCAGGGCAGTATTTCAGAATATAACGGTGTTATTTGTTGCACTTAATAGAGTGATAGTGCAGTAATAGTAACTGATAACTAACAGCAATAGTGCTGTTGTTAATCAGATAGTTTAAAAATACAACTGAGATAACGTATTGTAATAAAAGACATGCTTCTCAGACAATAATATTTGCTTTTGGTGTTTTCTAGCCATCTGACAAACTCTGATTTCTTTATTGTAGTTGGCTACACTATGAATGATCTGATATTTGAGTGGCTAAGTGATGGACCGGTGCAAGTTGCAGAGGGTTTAACCTTGCCACAGTTTATTTTGAAAGAAGATAAAGAACTTGGTTATTGCACAAAACATTACAACACTGGTGAGCGTTATTCTATTTTTTTTCTATTAATTGCTCTAATGGTATCTATTGTCAATTTGTAAGGGGAGAAGATGGGTAAAATTTAAAAAAAGATTGAAATTAAAATTTGATTCAGCCACACTTTTAAATCTGAAAAAATGAAATTTCCTCCCTTTTATTTTTGTTTGTTTGAAAGATTTGGTTTCCAAATTTCCTTTAATTTCATTAAAGATATTCTAATATACATACTCTAATATCCTTAAAATCCTTAAGAAATTTAAAATCTTAAAAAACTGATTAAAAAACTAGTTGCTTTTATTTCCTTATAATGGAAATTTTTTAACAAACTGAATCTTTTCTTAAATATTGATTCAGCACTTTTAAAGTACTGATTTTTCTGAATTTGATTTATTTCTCCAGCATATCAAAGTGCCAAAGAGGAAAAATATCAAATTTTCACCAGCATTTATGTGTGGTCTAATTTATGAAATGTAGTATTGGAAAAGACAATGCTTTCACTGCTGATGTGAATAGTGTACAGACATGAAATGCTGGGAAATTAAAAGTTTGCTTAATACTGTAATCTTTTTCCTATATTTGTTATTTTGAAATTTCAAATGCTGTATTTTCTATCTTTATCTTTACAGAGCAGAGAGAACTCTGTTAAAATTTGGATTTAGCTGCTTGGAGTTTATTTAATAGATACAGCATTTAGAGAATGGTTTGCTGGGTGCTCGCTGGGATTAGATATAATCCCTCTCATCTAAAATAGCTTTTTCATCATTTCAGCGTAAGAGCCAATCTGGTTGCATCAAATACATTTGTTTCACTCTGTGAAATAACACAACATGGCTCTGACAAAAATAAGTCACATTCATTTTTTATGAAAAGAAAAATATTTTTTTCAATTTTTACAAATACAGCTTCTCATTTTGGGGCCCGAAGTGCCAAGGAAGGACAACTTTGTGATTCCACAGTCCAAGACCCATGGAAAGGGGGACTGCTGTGATTTCTCATCTTTTCTCACACTTAAAGGGGATAGTTGAGAGTAAATTCCAATAGACAGAGCTTATCCATTTGTAATTTGGTTGGTACAAAGTTTAGCCATTTCCCAGCACATAACTCTGAATAAGTGAGTTCATCTGCTTTTCTAATTACTGTCAGATAACTGTTTTGCAGGGTCAAACACAGAAAGTAAGAGAGGGGGAAAAGCATGAGCAATAGCTTCCTTGTATACCCATGAAGATTTCCCACAAAAAATAAAAATGCCAATTAGTAGCTCCCATTACATGTAGTTAAACAAAATTAATGTCTAATTAACAAAAGTTAAAAGTGTGTGGCCTGGCCAGGGGAACTGAAAAGCAGTATTCAAGGAAAAGAAAACTCTGCCTACAGGCACCCGCATTGCTGTCTTCTCTGTAGCATGCTCCTTCAGGTTTGCTGTGAAATTCAAACGTGGATAAAAGCTGTATTATTCAGCCTTCTCCTCCTACCCACACTGCAAGGCGCTCTGTCCAGGTTGCACCACAGGGATCTGGAGAGCTACTCTCAGATTGAGCTACTCTAATGCCATTGCTGCCGCATGTGGCCACCCCACACCTTTCGAGTCCCCTTCTGTACGGGCAGACTGGTCAGGATCAGTCGCTATCCAGGTCTCAGAGTCTGTCTTCAGGGTCACAGGTCAGGCAACTCAACAGGTCAGGCCACTCATATATGAGCTTCTGTCCTGCCAAAAGATATTATTCCGTTCTTCTCCCCTCCTCTCTTTGCCAAACAGCTTCTGCATTGTCCTTTGTGCCAACTGTCGTACCTTGCCATCCAGCTGTCTAGACTAGCAAAAAAATATGCATGCATCACAAAAAGGAGCAAAAAATCTAATTTCGCCTGAAAGGATGAACAAGGAACGATGCATCTTCATGCATTTGACCAACCAAGACAAAAGGGGTCCTTTGAAACCTTGCATGACATCTCAGGAAGGACAGACATTTTTGTACTTGGATAAGTCTGCCTCGAGTGAGAGCCTTCACAGTACCTAAAGCACAGCCATGATACACAGTAATTTGGAGCGCAACACAGAGTGATTGCATTAGTAGCTGACGAACTGTTGCAACTCAGGACTCTGCATCCCCCGCTGCATGACTAGCTCCCCTGTCAGGCAATCCTAAACTTCTGTCCTCTGCTCCCCCTGTGGGGCAGCTATTGTTTGAAGAATCACTCACCTCCCACAAGAGGTGGTTGTGGATTTCCTGGAGTGAGACTTTTGACAAAATTCAAAGTAGGCTTTGGGTTGATTCTGCTGTGAGAAACAATCCACAGACACAAGCAAATGACATGACCAGAATGATCACACCAGAAGGGGTGTGATTTACCATAGGACTGCAAGACTAATTGTTTACAATTTGTCTGTTTAAGTATGTTTACTTAATCTTATGTAATTAACAGAGCAAAATGCTGTCCCGTTTTAATACTAAATATTATATTTGACTAAAGTAAAATCTTATTAAAATTTGAGGAAAGGAACATTACGTTATATTTTTTGGAGGTGAAACAACCATGCTAATATTCGTTTTCTGTTAATATGAGTCAGGGGTCCCATGCATCTCCCAAGCTAGAGTGCAACAAATGGCTGACTCGCATTTGTGTATCAGGACCAGCTTATACTATTAGGTTAGGAAACAGGCCACGCATCTAACTTATGTTCAGAAAACAAGATAAAAATGTGCAAAAAGCATTTATGAAAGTAATTTCATGTTCTAGGAAAGTTTACATGCATTGAAGTCAAGTTTCATTTGGAGCGTCAGATGGGATACTATTTAATCCAGATGTACATTCCTAGCCTGCTGATTGTCATTTTGTCCTGGGTTTCTTTCTGGATCAACATGGATGCTGCTCCAGCTAGAGTCGCACTGGGTATCACTACAGTTTTGACAATGACCACGCAAAGTTCAGGATCAAGAGCTTCCCTCCCAAAAGTAAGGAAATCATTTTGTACCACCTATTTGTTTTAAGAAGAAATATTTGTACTAATTCTGAGTTTCTGAAAGATCTGTGTAAATATGCATCTGATAAGAATACAGGAGAAAGTGGTAGCAGTGTGGTGTTAAACTGTTGCAATACCCTTGCATTTGGTCTGCTGGCTGGCGGGATGGCTGGAGGGTTCAAAGGTATGGATTTTTAATGAGTTTTTACTAGTTTTGACACTTAGTTTTCAGCATTTAGAAGCCAGATTTTTCTGAAGTATTTAGGTACCTGGCTGGATTTCTGAAAGCACTTTCATGAAAATTGGACATTCTATCTGGCCGGAGACCTTATAAACTCTGTTTGGTCTTTTCTGGACTGTTAGACTCTCGAATATCTTGATGTTTCTAGATATGGCACTTAGTCCAATGGATATATAAATGTACATAAATATATATATGTATATGTGAAATACTTATACATAACATGTATACACCTAGAAGGTTTCTCTGGAGAACCTTTTCAGAGAGTAACTGCTGATGTCTTTGCTTCACAGCAGAATTTGTCCATGTTCTGATTCAAGTGTCGCCTGCAGACCTCCATCCTGTCTACGCACAAAAATATCCTCTCACTCAAACTTTATGGTCTTTTTAATCCAGGCCAGATGCAGTAGATGGGCTTACAGATTACAGACTGGATTCTTTGTTTAGTCAGACCGACAGCTCTTTTCAGCATGGGCACAGCCTGAATGCTTCTGCTGATAGCATTCCCAGCAGAATTTCATGCATGCTCAGGCTTTGTACAATTTTCTGGAAGAGAGCTCAGAGGTAGATCGGTTTACAATAGTCTAAGGAGTCACGAGATATACTCCCTGAAGAGTCCTCTTTACAGCAGTCCAGCATCACAGGGACTGGGATCATAAAACTGTGCTAGCAGCAATGAAAGCACAAATTTTGACTGTTTGTACAGATCACGATCCATTCCAAAAAGCATACTGTATTTTGTTCTGCCTTACCCTCAGTATCGTATTTAGTCTTATTCCAAATACTGTAATTTGTTCAAATGGAGCATATATAGGGCAACTTCAAAAACTGCATAGATTGTGTTACTCTTCTGTTGGTAATAAGAAAGCATCACTTAAAAATCTGGTGACTACAACAGTCGTTTCAGCTTCACTTCTTCACTTGGAGATATGTATATTTTCCATGCAAACTGAAAGCCTTTCATATATTAATTCAGAATTTCAAATGGATAATTTCTTAAACATTTGTTCAGACAATTCAGTCAATATTACCAAGTGAACCCTCTGAAAAGAAAGTCAACAAAGAGATAATCTTGGCAAGGAGTGTTCAGGCTCTGTAGATAGCAAGTTTGGAGTCACCGAAGACTGTCTAGATGGCACAACACGATTCCATGCTGATATACTCCAAGTTTCTTCCAAATTAGCTGGTTTGAGAATTAGAGGTGGTACAATCACTGTAGTGGAGATTTCCACCCACATTTCCAACTGGGCAAACATACCCTGCCAAGAAGCTCTGCAGTGTTAGCATGCCCAGATGAAATTAATTCCAGCTGAGGCTCATGTTTGCTGCACATAGGAAAAACATCTAGAAAGGCTCTTCCAAATGAAATATAATTCTATCTCTTTGGTAAATTTTGTAGTATTTTTGTGGAATTATTATCTCCATAGTATTTTGAAATTCTGGCTAAGAATATAGGGTCAAATTCTAATACCAGCAACATAGTAATAAAGAAATCAATATGCAATTTTTTCCTTATTCTTCTACAAAGTTGATTGATTTCTTTGTTACAACAGATAAGAATAAACTATGAGAGAGTTTACATCCCAACAAAGCTACTGTTCTAGGAAGGGAGACCTGCAGTGCCTGTTTCAGAAAGCAGAAAGGTTCTCTTCCTCTACAGTTTTAGCATAAGCTGAGCAATACTGCGTCCTGCTTCCTTCAAGGACATGAAATAATGATTTTCTGTATAGGGAGTATCTGCAGAGAAATATTCACCAGGTGTCAACCTCTTTTATAGTGATGAAATTATTTTGTGTTTGTTACAGAAGACTAGTGAGGGGTCCTGTGACCAGACTCACCCTTACTGGCTGTGTTAGGGGGTGGTAAGGAACTCATCCAGAAAGCTGGGGTTGAATACCCTCCCTCCAGTTTGGCTAATCCATTGCTGGAATGGTCAGGAATGGTGATCCAAAATAGCAGGGTTCCAATGATCAGTTGCCCTTCCCACACGTTCATGTGTATAAGTCTTACCCACATCTGATACTCTATGTCCGTATTCCTCTGGTTGTGTCATTGTTTTCCACTTAGAAACTTGGGCTAGATAAATGTTTGTGCACCCAGCTACACCAGTAGCTCTTGCCAATCGGCCAGCTGAGCAGAAATCCTGGTTGCCAGCTGGGTGATCAGTGTGACCACACATCCACAATGAAACCCTCAAGAAACCCTGAGCTTTCTACGCGAGTCCTGTGCATGAGCCTGGGAGCTCCCTTGCACCGAGGGTTTGCTGGACTTCATCTATGCAGAGAAACTCTATGGCACACAAATCAGGAATGTGATGTAACCATCCATGCAATACTCAGCACATGCTTAGATCCAACGCCTTCTGGAAGTATTAGACCCACGGTACAAAAACGGCAGTATGTATTCATCAAAATATGGACTAAGGAATGTCTTGGCATCGTAAGGGACACAGAGACATAGAATATGCTTCTACATATTTTATGGCCACGCTGTGTATAAGGTGGGGTAGTAAAGGGGAGGATATCAAGGTGCAATAGCACAGAATTGTTGAGAAGTGTTAGAAAACGGTTCTTTTCTTCAGAGCATTGAATGACTATTCCCTTGTTATTCTATTTATTTTGAAACACCTTCTCTTTTGTTGAATCAACAGAACCAAAACTTTTAAAGCATTTTCAAAAGAGGCATTTGGAAGAATAACGAGTTCTCTGCTGTGCTAGTAATTGGGTATTTTTCAGATTGCCGCCTTCTTGAAACACTTATATAAACCAAACCTTAGCAACAACAGCCCAAGAAAATGAATTACTTTTAATGCCATGAAGCAAAACATTTGAGGATACTTTAAGTCAAGTAAGTGATAGCAACTGTATTTTACGCAGTTGCATAGCATTCATATTGTGTTACTTTAATGCACAGTGCTTAATGAATGCATGTTCCTTCCCCAGGGAGAAAACTGCAGAAAAAAAATCTCATTCAAAGCTCACTGAAACCTCTGGGAATCCTTCCATTCACTTCATTTTGCTTTGGATCACTAAATGCATTACCCAATGCAGTAAAAGCATTATATTCTAATAGGTGCAGAGACTTGCAAAACCAAAGGCATTGAAGTCTATCCCCTTTGGCAATAAATGACTGCTTTTATGTCTCGTCCACCATCCCCGGCATATTTGGAGACTTTTCAAGATTCTTGGGCTTCTGGCAGACCAGTCTGAGAAAGTAACCTCTCCTTTTTTGAATGCCAAAAGTTATCAAGAAGCTCCAAGACAGCACATTTTTTATTTTGAATTAAGGCTAAAATGATGCCATAAAAAATTAAAAAAAAAAAAGGGAAGAAATGAGGAGAAATAATAATAAAGAAAAAGAAATAGATGCTTTTCTCAGAGATATTATTCTGTGTTCATTTGTTTTCATAGGAAGTAGAGCACCTAAGGTGATAGCTTACTCTTTTACGTAACAAAACACAGAGATGATAACATTTTGGTGCAACATTATGGTAAAAAAGCAATAACGAAGTAACTTGGAATGGAAGCAATTTTCTGATAAACTACTTTTCCTCTAGTCTCAGGATCTGAAGAGGAAATACAGGAGTAATTCAACAAGCATGAGTTAAGTTAATTGGCACTTACTTGGTTTCTGTGGGTGTCTGAGCACCTGACATGTTGCTTAAATAATTAGGCCAACCCTATTTTTATTAGGTGTTTATAAATTCCTGTTGTAGACCTGGTAGTCCTAAAACAGTACCATGATATTTAATATGCCTGCCCTATGTCACATATTTATTGATTCTGATGGGGGAACTGCAAACAAATTTCCACTTTTAAAAAATTTATTCAGGGTCCTTGAGTGGATTTAAAAAGAAACATTCTAGTGGTTGTCAGTTTTCTTGACTGTAATAAAAGTGGGCATGCTGCCCAAATCCTTGAGAAGTCAGGCTGCGCTGTCAGGTAACCACAAGGATCTACTCTTCAGTCATGTGCCTACATGGAAATGTTTTAGCAGTCACTTGTTCTGTTCATTTCCAATGTTCTTATATAACTTTATTTTCCCTCCCCATTATAGTTTTAAGATCTAACATATAATCCTTCTTTTACTTATATTAGGAGAATCATGAAACCTGCTTTAGCTCTGGGGTTTTTTTTTAGTTTGGCAAAGCTACATACAACTAAATCTTGTATTTGGACAGTGTTTTCAATATTCATTGTTATATTCCATACAATATTTGAATTTGGATACAGAGATTTGTC